TGTACCAATGACACCATAACGACCAACTTGTTCAGTAACAGTAAGTCCATATTCTTTGAGTTTTGCAGCGACAAGTGCTGATGTACGTACTTCTTGCATAGCTAATTCTGGATGTGCATGAATATCATGACGTATTGCAACTAATTCAGGTTGCATTGCATGCATCTCCGACAAAAGACGTTCATCCATTTATCTTCAAATGATACGATATGTAATAGTCGATAATGGAACTATGTTTTCGTTATTACTTTATATCTATATTAAGATCAATCAAGTAGAACGAAAAAAATTAAAATGTGTCTAATTATGCTCGGCTCATTCATGCGGTAAAAATATTTACACACCGTTGGGTGAGAATAAATGATTTTTTTTGAATAAAATAAATAAGCAAAAACTCATTGTAAGATAAAATTAGTAGTTTAATACTCAAAGAAAATCCTACATGAATTTTTATAAATATCGTGCCAGATCTTCTTGGTGAATTGTTTGATAGAATTCATCATTCAAAATGAAACAGCACCAAATTATCATCTTCTTTTAACTTGAAATTTCTGAGTAAATGTAACTGACCGTGCAATTTATTATATGTATATATGGTTTTTTTAAATATTTTTTTACATTGTTTATCTCCCATTGGTTGCCACAGTAATTATTTGTAGCGTGACTTTTGAAATTACGCGAAGAATATATTGAATAGAACAAATGAATAAAACACTTTTTTGTAATAAACTTTATGAACTATGAATAACTGCTTAGACATAGGAACATGAGATTCATAATTCAAAAAAACAATTTGAATGATTATCTTGTCATATCCTAATGGTGAGCACAATAAAATTTCATATCTGTGCGATCACATAATATAGAGTTTCGTTCATTTTCAAGCAAATTTCACTGGAAGAACAGACTATTTTCATACCATTTTTCTGAATGTTTCGCAGAATCATTGATTTCAAGATAACTTTTTTCTATATGTTATCGAGGAAAAAGACATTCCTATGTTTTCTCTTTCGATTGCTGAAAATTACAGATCGCTAGCTAGTTGCATTGTCGACTTGATCAATTTTTAACTGAGTACCTTTAAGTATTGTACCGACATTAGTCATAAGTATTTTTATTTAATCATTACTATTGAACATGCAACAGTAATTTTAAAGCATCAGAATGAAGCAATTAAAATAATCAAAATAAAGTAAAATATAGGCAGCTGTTGGTAGTATATTATCATAGCTGTTATTTCTTGAAAAGTAATCCGAAAAAAGCATTGTAATATATTCTCATTAACGACATTGATGACAATTCAAATGATGACTTGATCTAACTGAGTATTCAATTTAACTAGATTAAAACCTTGATCGAACATAGTCTGAAGCACTATTATAAATGCCTGTTAATCGAGAGATTACTTTGCAACAATACCAATTCTTCTTTGGGTATTCAATTAGTTTCGATAAAATTTTATTTAATATCATCGATGTAATTTTTTCTTTCTTTATCGTTTATGAAAAATCGCAACATGGCTTTTGATACAGATGTAACGAAAATATAGAATTAAAGCTTTTCACAGCTACAAATGATATAAAACAGCCTTCACATGACTCTATTTTTTGGAAGCATACCATTTGTAGAACACATTTAAATCATCTTGAAAGCCTGCATTCGATAAACTTTATATTCAATAGGAGTATTTTTCTGTTTGTAATAGAATTGAGTTCTATTTTTCTTACATGTTAAAAAAAAGTTTCGTTGAACATATACATCTTTCCACTTTATATTTCTATTGTTGTAATGTTATTCGATTAATTTTCACTCGATGTCAAAAAAAAACAATGACTGCCATATAAATCACTTACAATCAGTGTCAGCTATTCATTATATCAATATTTTATTAGTAACTTGAGTAAAAGACATGTTTTTCCAAATTTTAGAGCAGACATATTGATTTCATTCGATACTCATCGATGATATTTATCGTGCAGTATATAATCGATAGAAAATCATTATGTGTCATAGAATGAAAACTCCTGTTTTACAATATTAATATATAGGATATTTCAAAGTATTTGATAATTTTTGTCAGCATGTCTACAAAAAAGTATATCCGTACTTTTATTGTCTAGAATCATTAGTGTTATTTAACAAATAATGCCAGCATCTAAATTAGCCATCATTTACATTAGACTTTCACTAATATTTCTAGATAAAGGCATATTTTCATATGCCTTTTCTCATATATGTCTCAGTCATTTGATAGATCTCCGTGAGATCTATCGTGTCATATACATTTCAGAATCTCAATCTTCGGATTTAATAAAACTAAAGTTTCTATGATACAGTATTAACATATTTACTGTTATTAATAATGTGACACTTTAATTACTATTGGAAGCATATGAGACGCTATTTCACTTTATTGTTATAATGCTTCGATGTTCTCTAATCACTCGTTCTAGATATTTCAGTACAGAGTACCTATGAGTAATAAGATCTCTACATAGTATCTCTCATAAGGTAACTTTAATTACTATTATTGAGGAGTCAAAATCCTATATCAAATACATTATTGTGTAGCTCTTCAATATTTCTACAAAAACTATTTGCAAATCATCACAAAGAGGGAACACGAATCTGACACAGAACTTCGGCTTTGATATCGGTTGGTTTAGTCAAAATAAAGAAATTTTTTTAAAGTATGAGAATGTGTTCTTTAACTAAAAAAAAAGTACAATAATCACAATTGTTTTAAAAATTGCTCTGCCCCGTACTGTGTTTCTTTCCATTTGATTTGAATACTAAAAGTTGCAGTTTGAACGTGCTTTCCGAATGCGTTCTCATCTTCCTAGTACATACGAATGATACGGCTCTTTTGAGTTTTATGTCTAATATCAGAGGCGACCAGATAAGATCTTAAATAGAATCCAGTAGGTTTGAAAAAGATATAAGATGAAAAAGAAAACTCAGAAAAAATCGTCAATTTTGATAGATTCAATGAGGATGATTCACTAGTGCTCTTTATCTCTTCATAATCATATTGGCATTTGATTCTGATATGTTGGTTTTTGTATATACACACTATGTCTTTTCGAGCTTTTTTGTCAACGATCAAAATTTTGACGAAGTCTGTCTTAAGTAATGAACAAGATTACGCTAATTTTATAGATTCATTAAGAACTTTCAAGAAAAAACAAGCATCCTAGAAACATTTTTGTTAGCAAATCACACAAAAAGAAGTATAGATACTAGTCTAAGACAATTTTTGGAGTCAAAAAATTTGATTCTGTAGCACTATATCTGCAAACAGAGTTTAAAAATAAATGTTATATCATATTGAAACTTCATTTAAAATAGACTCCAGCGATATATGAATAAATATAAATCTCTTTTGGTTTTCAGAAATCAATAAATTTATGCATAATTTAGATGTCATACTAAAGCAGTAGGGGCTCAGTAGAAAAGAAGAGCATATGTGAAATATAACAGAAAATGATAATGTTCAAGATCTTGATTAAAATTGAATATATGAGTTCATGAAGATAAATACAAATTTTGTTACATCTAGGTCATATCTGCAATTAACATTCTGTATTTTTAAGTCTCATCGAAATGAGTCATTCTTTGTTTTACCAGCCTGTATAAATATAATTTGAAATTAGTACTTCGATGAAACATTTTATCTTCTAACTGATAGAATATGTGTATTTTTCATTTAAATTAACGGTTAGATTTTAATCCTTTTATCCATCATCGATCAAAAAATCATTTCAACATTAGAACTACATAACATCGTATTTCTTATCTGTTATTTTGAAATATTTTCAATATAAAGAAAACATACTTGTATTTTTATTAGTGTCGATCAATACCTCGATTTCTTTTTTATTGTCATATGCCATTTTTCTCACATAGAACATCGTTTTTCTTATTAATAGTTATTTTCATTGTGTTTTACATACCATGTGAAAAAAAAAGGTGATATTGCCATTAATCATATGCGTTCGATTCTTATTTTGTAAATCATATTGAAAAGATCAAGAATGAATGTTTTTCTTATTTAAATACATATGTAAATATAATACACTTGTATCTCGTTCTAAATAAACATTCTTCATTTATCATTTCATACAAAAAAAAAAGCAGTACAGGTATGTCTATGTATTCTTGATCAACTTTTGACATTTATTTTGTACCGTAAACAAAATATATTTTATTTGAAATTTAAGTATGATTCAAAATAGTACTGCAAAAGATGAAACAATAGGAAGTAATTATGATGATAGTGGTGCTATGATATATATTGTAACTGTTCTTCTTTGGTATTCAATTGGTATTATATTTATGTTAGCAATGCAAATGAAAGCACGTTCTGAAATTACTGAAGAATCAGCAAGACGACGAACGAAATTACTTATTCGAAACTTACGAGATCATACAAATACTAAGGAAATATTAGGCAAGTTTATTAGATTTATATTTACCGTTTTATTAAATTTTTGGAATACATAATAACATTGCATGTATTCATTAGTACAAAGATTCAGTTGTTATGATGCAGCAAAGTTCTATGAATTAACATAGAGCTCTCTATTAGAAATTTCAAATTTTCTTATAGTTTTAAAGTGCTTAATGTGGTAATTTGTATATATCAAATACCAATGCAATACTTTTAACTAAATAGATTGGATCATAAATAACACGATGATGAAGAATGAAGAATCTCCACTGTGATTCGCTCCAATAGGCTGACTTTTTAGTTAGTAATACCAGCTTATATAAAGTGTTCTTTTCCATATCATTTAATGTAAACAAATGCCACTGTCGAGGCATATTATAGGCTTTCACTTATTGTCAAGTAAAAAAAATGCAAATTCTAGATCAAGAAATTCTGCGCCGCGGTTAGTTGGAATACTTGGGAACATGGTAAGAACTTGGAAGCAAGAATCCGATAGTAGGCTCTGCTCAGTGACGATTGAAACTAGAAAAACTCGACCACCAGATTCCATTATAAAATTCGTGCTTTCAAGTTCCTACCATTTTTCCGCGTTTTCCGACCAGAAAACGTGTCTCTTCTGTGAAACTTGCTCGAATTATTGACCAGGGATAAAGCGTTTCATGGATAATTTTCTCCTATCGTCTAACGATGAAAGTTGTCTAAATGTTCAATCGTTTTCGATTTGAGACAATGTGGATTTTGTAGCTTCAAATGAATTATAAACATCCTAAAAAGACATTGTTCCCTTAGCTAAATTGATGAATGTCATGATAATAAAAACTATACAATTATGTCAATAGCATGCCTGTTACATTACACGTATAAACCAGCAGATTTGATGTACTTACTTGGCGACAGAAACATATGAAAAGATCTGAAGCTTTCATAATACACTATTCTTGTTATGATCAGACTCTGTGTGTAACATTTCAAGTCAAAATTCGAAAATCATTTTTTTCTGTCACCACTGCATTCATTAATATGTTTAGAGCAAGAATTGTTTTCAGAGTATTCATCAATCATTCGGACCTATATAATGCAGAGTGCGCCAACTTTCTTGCAAAAGCCACTGTCTCATGTTTGAAACTTCGAAATTTTATCCTCGTTGACTTTTAGACTATTCAATTTTGAGAATTTGCTCTGATTTATTTTTATTACTCGTTGAGACGATAACTGAAAATTAACTATGAAACACTAAATATACATTTGTCGTATTTGATACACAGGTGAATTGGCTTTCCTTATCCGTATGAGAAAAAACTTTGAATAAACACCTATTGTGAACCAACCAACGTGAAAATACTTCATTTCTCTCGTCGTAGTACTATTTATGGTTCATCATCGAGATTTGAATTTTAAAAAATGAAATTTTTATTAATTTAGAAGAATTAGTCGATAAAGAAAAACGAGCTCGACTTTGGGAAATTTATTTGGGTACAAAAGATCATATAAGAGATAAATTAAATACTGAAACAGCTCGTATTCGTAATATGGAAAAACGATTAGCAACTATAAAAGGTGTTCATCGTTCAACTGATGAAACATTACTTTTAGCCGGAAAAGAAAAGTTCTATTATCGAAGTCGTTCATATTCTCGACAAATACCTACACAATTATCAACTATCCAAGAACCATCAACACTTCGACGTCGTTCATCACTTGATCAACAAACACTGGAACGATGGAAAGCTCTTGCTAATCAATCGAAAACACATGAACAAATGCCATGGTCTATACGTAAATTATTGATTCGAAAATATTTTCGACGTCATACAAAAAAACCTTTACCAATAATACATCAAGATTCTACTATAAGCAATCCCATAGCAGATGATTTATTATCATTTACAAATCAAATTAATATGCTTACACGACATCGTACAGAACCAAGTCTTAATGAACTTTCAACATGTGATGAAAGACAAAATCCTTATTTAACTTATTTTTTTACACCAACAAATCGTCCAAGTATATTAACAACACAATTTTATCCTGCATCATCGGAACATTCAATGAAATAAAAAATATTTCGTTTTTCTTTCATATTCTCTTTGTTTTTTTTTCTTTTACAAAATCAAACAAAAACGTCTCAACAAAAAAAAAATGCAGCTCGCAAATGGACGGAGAATAAGTAAAAACCAAAACAAAATACATAGATCAATAAATGTTGCCTTACATACACTATACAAAAGAAAAAAACGAGAAAGATAGATAGAAAGAAAAAAAGGACAGCGTTTGTGATTCAACATGAGATTCCTATATTATCACTGTCGTAGACGTTTCATATGATGATTATTATTCATATTTTCATCAATTGATCGTTTTGATAATATTTGTTGTTGATTATTAAGAGTAGAAAGAACTTTTTGTTTATCATTTATTGATGAAGAATCATCATGCGAATCACATGCTGATTGTCAAAGAGCTTTGCCTGGTCTTTAAAAAAAGAAAATTACGTTTTTTTTTTCTGTTTTTTTTTCCTATTCAATTATTTTTATAATTATAAAAACTTACAAAGCAAATGACATATTCTTAAAGTCATGCTCGGGAATTCCAGTTAAAAATAATGTCGAACATCCACCATTTAATTGTCCATTAGCAACAGCAACAGCTTGATTTGATTGTTGTATTTGGGTCATACCTGTTGTGCCTGGCATTGGATGACCCAAACCCTATACATAAAAAAAAAACAATTTAATTATATAACCATATCAAATATATAAAACATAAATTTGTATGTCATAAAATAGTGTACCAAGCAAAATTGTGAGTAATTTTATGTATGCGCGAGCTTTTGTAATCGAAGACAATATCTTTTTTTCACGCATGATAGTGGGTGAAAAAATAATTTTTTGATGCTCTTAGTAGTGTATATGAATAGATATTATTGTTCATATATATAAAAAGATATGAAGAAAAAAAAAAACAATTGTTGTGTCCATTTGACACAATATGTGGTAGTGGTTGTTGTGACGAATTTAGCTAATATCGATACTTACACTACATATGACTATGATCTCAAGAACTTAAATAATACAATGCTTTACTTTGTTTTTTTGTTGTTCAAGATTGATGAGAAAAGAAAAAACTTACCATGGGTGGTCCATGCAAAGCTGTATGTAATAATGCTGGATGATGAAGACCAGCTGAAGCTAAATCAAAAGCTAATGGTTGACCCCATGTGTCAGTTGGAAAAAATGCGGCACCAAGTTCTTCTAAATAAATAATTTGTTTTTTTGTTTTGAATTGAAATATCTTCTATCGAAAAAATGAAAAACTTACGAGGAATTTGAATAAATTGTTGAGTTGCAGTTGTTAATGTATTTTGAGTTGGATGTTTAGGTTTTTGTACTTTAGTATTTGATTTAGCAAATTCAAGTCGAAGTGTTGCTGGAAGATCAGGATCAAATCGAACTCCCTAATATATAATATAAATAATTCATAGCTTTCTTGTTTTTTTATTTTCATATTTAAAATATTTTACTGTAAGTTCTTGTTTAGCTGTTTCAGCATCAACACGATTAGCAAATGTAACAAATCCAACAGGTGATAAATTTTTACCATTTTTATTTGTTACTTTAAGTAGACTTCCTTCATAACCCTAGAAATCAAAAAAAAAAATAATACAACTAAAGCTATACTTGTCGTATTCAATTATCTATTTAATCATTCAACAAACTATTCTCTAATGATTATAATATGTCATTATCTCTATATTAAATATTAAAAACTGACTTACTTTAAATCCTCGAAATAGAAGATAAAGTTCTCGTGGTTTAGCATCCATTGGTAAACCTGATACAAATAAAGTTCGAACCTATAATAAATAATAGATTATTGAAAATATTCACAACAATCAATTGTTTCTTATTTATTTCAACAGGCGCGCACACGCACACACACATATACATACCGGTCGTCGATATACCAAATGCATTTTCTCACTATTTAAATGACGCATTTTTTTGCTGATATTAGTAGTTATACTACCATGTTTAACAAATTTGTCATGTGTCATCTCCTTGCTCTCGTATGATTTTTATATGTGCATGTATATGACAATCAAGAAGATGATGAAAAAAGAAAAAATTTCGTTATGCTTTTGATCAGTAGCGTGAAAGACAGCGAAAAAGAAAAGGAAGTGAGTGACACACTTGAAGTGAACAGTTCTTATTAACAAAAGAAATGAAGAGCAATGATGCGGAGGGTGAAGACAAGTAGCGACGACAAAAAAAAAGAGAGAGCGAGGGAAAAAAACGAAACAGATGAAAAAAAAAATATATATATATATTGTTTATACAGTTGGTAATAATGAAAATAAAAATAAATGTTGATCTAACTTGCATATGCACGTCAGATATATCGATATACATATCCTTTTCATTTAGTTGATTAGTTTTAGAAAAAAACCACTGAGATCATTTTTTTTTCTTTTATATATATATTTAAAAAAGAGTAAGTTATATATTTACTATTGTTTTAATAAGATTCACCTCTCACTTTGAAGACAATCACAATGACATTTTCATGTATATACACATACTTCAAAAGGCTTTTACGGCAAAAAAAAGAATAATAACAATAATGTAGAAGTCTTCGTTCGAACTAATTGAATTTCATGGATCAATACTTGAGAACAAAGAATAGAGATATACAATAAATTTATATATATATATATAGAAAATGATACTATTTTCAAATTGTAAAAATGAAAGTATAATCAAAATTGATAGTTATTGTATCATAGATCATGTTATATGACAAGATTAAGTCAATTTTAAAACCTTCAATATAAAAAGCGACATTTAACGAAAAGTCTTTTCATAATACCGTAACTAAGTACCTTTGAAAGATACAAATATTACTCAATTAAAATTTTTTAATTTCTATATAGTATCAATAGATTCTAGTCTGTAAGTAATAGATAATCTTCTTTTTTTTTGAGGGGGAGATCTTTGATAACAAACAATCTGTTAATGCTTATTTATCTTAATCATTACCGAGGGAGTATTTGTCTCAATCTAAAGATAAAAATGATATTTACCAGATTTTTTTGTCTTATTGTTGAAGTGCACAACAAACAAAAACAAAGCAGTGAAAGGCAAGTGAAAAATTTTTCGAACGAAAATACCTTTTGATTTTCTTAACAGAAGCTCTAATATAAGATTATTGTTGTTTTTTTTTAAATTTCAAGTGTTTATTGTGTATATGGTGATGCTAGTGCAAAAGCTTCATTCACTAAAAAAAAAGTGCTTTTAAGGGTTACGTGCTAATCATGTGTAAAATGTGATTCGAATATATTGTTTTATGTAAATTCTACTTGCTTTACTTACTTCATTTAGTTCATCGGTAGAACTTTTCATCGTGTAACAATGACTATAACAACAGACAATATATAATGTAACGAATTGATAGTGATCTACGAAATAGAAGCTTCTGCTATTTTCTTTTTGTTCTATATACCTCTTCACCTTAACAATCAATATAAATAAATGATTAATAATTATTTGAAAAAAAAAACCGAGGATGATACTAAATATTTGTAATAGTATTGATCGTTTGTTTGCTGCTAGAACCGTAATCGAATCATCATATCAATTAAAATAGGTGTAATACGAGTAGAACAAAATAAAGTGCAGTTGCTCACTTTTGTTTCATCTTCAATGAATAAGAGAAGAAAGAAAAACGATAGAAAGTTTTTCTTCTTTTTTTTTTTTTTTTCTTCGACACTCTACTACTTCTTCCGTCACAAAAAAAACCGTATTGGAAAGAAAAAACATTTTTAAATGCAGTAAAAAAAAAAAAAGAAACCGGAAATCGATTGGTAAAAAAAAAAGAAGAGAAAAAGAAATCGATCGAAACGACGGAACGGCTCGATCACTTGTCACATCTAGAAAAAGCTTAATATACCCTAAAGTAACTGCAACTGAACGGTAGTCTTTAACCGGAAACAATTTTCAATTACATGAGCAAGAGAAAAAAAAAAGAAATCATTCAATAATGGTCAAATAAATAATAAATTATTTAGAATTTCGGCAATATAAAAATACAAAAAGTCAATCGCAGCTTTCTTTGATGATAATCTTTATAACTCAATAGATCTAGTAACATTTTATGTAGTTTATTGTCCTAGATCAATGAAAATGTCTTTTTTAAAATTAAAGAATCATAAAAATCACCAATTATTAAACTAAATTATAGATAATGTTATTGTATTATTAATGGGATAGTCATTATATATATATATATATATGATACTTTTATTCATGTATGTTCTTTAATAGAAGAATGAATGTGAAAACTGATCGATAACATGATATGGATTTATCAAGAAAGTAAATCGATACTAAAACAGGGTTATATTCGATGCTTCAAAAAGAAAAGAAAAGAAAAATGATTACTTTCTTACCTAGAATCTGTTTCATTTCTATTATTATTTATATCTTCATTGAGTATATTTGTTTCCATTATAATAATAGAAAAAACTGATTGTATATATCTGTATTTGCTAGTTGTTCTTTCTTTTAGTATGTTTATATATGTGGTATTACCGTGTACAAACGAGACATATATATATAAAAAAAAACGGCGAGCAAAAAAAAAAAAAAAAGAAAAAGAAGAAAGATTCTATGAATGGAATTATCGTGTAGTCGATATTTTTCTTGATATTCCATTGTTTTGTTCTCTATAGAGAACGATAAGTATTATTCTCATGTATTACAGATCGTAATTCCATATGGTTCTCTATTGTTTTTTTTCAATTATGTCTTTTGAACTTTTTCTTTTTAAAATAAAAACTCTACCCTCAAGCATCAATAAATTCATATGTATTTAAGTTCTAAAAGTAACAAAAATGATGATGAATATTGTTCAAGAATTTCTTTGTTAATGATTCGATAAGTGTATACCAGTAGTAATAGAACACTTTTAGATCTAGTCTAAATACGTTTCTTTTTTCTTGTTTCAATAGAACTCATAACTTTCTTTTATTTCATTTACTATGAAAAAGAAGAAAGACTAG